TTACCCCTTTCCTTAACTAAGACTACTAGCTTTTAATACGTATATTCCTCGTACTTAGGCTATATATATAGTAAGAGTTAATTCGTTCCCCTTATCGGTATTAGTACTAATTCCCTACCTTATCCTCGTATAAGATTTAAGCTAGGTTAGCTTAAGTAAGCATTGCTTAGGCTACTACCTAGAGAGGCGTTTTAACGCTATAATCTAAGTAAGTAAAAAATAGCCGTATCTCGAGCCGCTATATCGTACGTAAATACTACTTAAGAGTACTTAAAGACATAGTTATAGATCGGCTAACGTAAAATTAAATAATATACCGTAAGTACGTATTAATATAGGTATATATCTAAAACCCGAATTTCTTTAGTTTCTTATACCTATTAAGGCACTAAAGGAAATTTAGTCCTAGGACTAAGAAGTCTATACGATACTTAAAGTTCCCTTCTCGATATCGTTAAACTTCCTTAAGGAGAATTAACTAATAGAAATTATAGAGGCGATTTTACGAGACTAAGATATTTCCCTTTTATCGTACGTAGTAATAAAAGTAGCCTCTCCTAAAGCCTCGAATTATAGAAGACTCTTAAAAGTCTTTTTCGAGGAATACGATTATAACTTAAAGGGTAGCCTCTCTTTCTTTACTTATATAGAAACGTCTTTTTATCCTATTCTCCTAGCGGATATATCGAATTATAGAAGGAGATACTTAGAGCCTATCTTAATACTAGATATCTTAAAGGATAGAAGCGTTATTAAATCTATAGGTATAAAAGTAAAAGTATACGCGTTAAATAAGCTAGTCTAATACTTAAGTATACTACTGCCGGGTAAGGCCCTACGACGTAAGAGATATCTTAAGGGTTTATAAGCTAATACTCTAACTCCCTTATATAGAAAGTATTTAATTAACTTAGCGAAGAATCTCTTAGTTTAGCGCCTTAGTAGTATAAATTTCGGCAATATCCTCGTATAACGACTTAAGATTAACCTACCGCGATAGTCCTTAAGTAGAAAGCTAGCGCTAAAGAGTCTATAGGCTAATAGATTGATGCCCTTAGGCGATAAGGCGCTCGTTTATACGCTAGAGGATGATCTAGTTAGAATATCCTTAATAAAAAGAAGAAAGAATTACGTCTCGTATATACTCGAGGTCTTTTGCTGGTCGCATTGTAAAGAGTAGAGACTAAGTGTATAATCTAAATTAAAGAAATTTTTATGAATAAAGTAGTATAGTAATTTAGTGGGTTTAGGTTTTGGCACACTTTGCGGACCTTAGCTAATGTGCCACCGTACTCTGGCCCAAAACCCTGACAGCCAGTCACACGTATCGGGACAAGGGCGGGCCGGCGCACGCGCACGCGCGCATTTAGCAGCGGCCAGTGCGACGCATAGTTAGAGCAACTGTAGCCTATAGCACCTTTTAATAAGTAATAAGTGTTCCAATTCACGACGTTCTTTCTGCTCAAATTGGGGGGCATCTGGAGATCGCTCGGCGGTAATGCAGGCTCTTAGTATCAACCGCACGCGCGTCTGGGATGAAGAACTTCAAAGGGTCGGCCTACCACCGTTATAGATACGATTGCTAGATCTGCGTCGTGTAGGGCTGATATTTGAAGATTTTGAAGTCGAATCGGCCTCGGGACCCTTGAATTGAATGAAGCCGAATCGGGTAAGGTCTTCAAATTCGACGAATCAAAAATCAGGAGTCTTCATTCAATTCATTCATAAAAATTGTGAATGAATGGCGATATGGTCGAAACGTAAGGCGAAAAAAAATTATCACCCCGCTTCGCGGCCAAGGGACATACAGGGAGGAAAGGGTCAATACCCGAAGCCACCCACCAAGGGCCTCTTCCCTGTTCTTCCTCGGCAGGCTCACATACACATCAATAAACAAGCTGCTTTGACCCCATCATTAAGGGTTTGCCCGCGCGGACACGGTAACTTCGAGTTCGGCCGCGCTTGTGATGACGCTCTGCGTATTTAAAAGTCTGTTGTGCGTGTTTCAGTTGGATTCCACCGTCCACTCCACTGGCAAAATCTAGTCCCGCGCCGCCCGCGTCTGGCGGGCGTCGCTGGGGAAATCGAGGCGAAGGACGGCAGTTAGGGCGTCCATATATTGTGGTATAACGACCTAACAGTGCCTGATACGCCACCGTTTCAGCAATCTTGCCACCCTATACGGAGTATTAAAAAACACCATGAAGCTCATGAACAGTGCCATTTTATAATGCACATGATTTAAATGTAGTGCCGCTCGAATGTTCTGGATTTTCTCGTTCGGATGATATAACCCTCGATAGTTACATGTCGTTAACATTTGCTCAAGAAATGCCACATCATCTTGAAGGCAATCAATGGATAGCCCATTTTTTGGTTGGAATACTACATTTCAAGCACATATTAAGCTCGGCAACCCATATTCTGGATATATAATATAATAATTATACCGCTGTACAGCCCCCAGCAAGCTGATTCGAAAAACGCGTTCAGATCCCTCAACATCTCAATACTGCGCGAACAATTGGAAGTGACACGAATCGAGTCAGCTCGCGATTTGGAGGCTGTTAGGGACTTATCTACTCCTCGAGCCCAATATGACTGCTACTTGTTTGTCCATACAAATTAGCCGATCAGGAAGTACCCGAAAAATCTGCATGATAAGGATATATTGTGCCAACTAGCCGCGTTCAGACGCGTTATTTCCGCTCAGTTGACCACCTGTTAATTCTACTGCTGTCGGAAAGACAGGGTCGTCAGCCCATCCACCTTTTGCCTGCGTGGCGCAACGGTCTTCGCGACAACTGCCACGACATTATTTTACCACGACCTCGCCTAATTCCTGCTTCGATATTCCGACAGCGGCTTCGGATCAGCCCCCGAATCAACGCCCTGACCGACGACCTATCCTACCCGTTCAACCCCGACTCCTTGACACTTTATTGTGGTTTATTTGGTGTCGTTCCGACTACCTGTGTCGCGTCCATTCTCGAGCCTTTCAGCCAAGATCAGGTAAAACTTCATTACTCTCAATCTACCCTCCTTATTTAATTACCTTACGAGTGGATAGCTAATTATAACATGATACGTAGTATGGCCCTGCTGAAACAAAACATCTGCCGCAGCGAATTTCTTTGCTCCAAGGACCCGGCGTAAATTGCCAACGCAGAATTATGCCCGCATCGAACGTCCTCAATTCAACCTCGGAATCCCGCGCGCGCGCTGATTCTAGCGCTCCGGCTCCTTCCTCTCCTCTTCCAACTGGCGAAGATACAATTGTCTGCGCGCCCCCGGGTCATCCTGACTGTGAGTCAGATGATGACATGCCCGACGCGGATACACCAGAGCCGCCATTGAACAGTAGTCATATGACGCTCGCAGAGAAAGCCGGACTTATCAAGAAGTGGGCCGACAACAAACAAAAGCATGTTCGCAAGAAGAGAGACAAGAACAGCCACGTCTATTGGTATATGCAGAGGGAAGCTATAGACAGAAGCTTTTACTCAGAGGATAAGGATGGGCCGAAGATCTTCCAAGAGTTCCGGTGGACTTGTATAGAGTGCCTTCAAAATCCCAATACTCTTCGGAAGAGATTCCAGGTCCTCGAATCGAACCGCCGAGGGTTACCTCTGGCATGGGAGACCATTTAAAAATCCACGGTATTACGAAGGAATCTCACCACGCTCGAATTAATGGATACGGCCGCGCCATTGGTGGAGGAGATTATACAGAGGCAGACGCATGGAGCGGTCGACCTAGGCAGAGAGCAAGACTCACGGCAAAGAGTCTATCCGCCGGTGGTTTGTAAACACCGACAACCCTTCTCTGTTGTCGAGACTCCTGCTTTTCAAGAGATGTTCTTGGCTCACAACACAACATGTGTGTACAGGAGTCGTATAACGTTACGCAATCATATATATACAGACTTTGTCGAACGCAGGAGAAGCTGAAGATTGAGCTTGAGTACAATTGTGCCACCATCTCGTTCACCCTTGATATCTGGACAGCACCGAATCGGGTGCCCATTTTCGCCATTATTGCGCACTGGATTACACCGGAGTTTGAGGAGAGAGAGGAAGTTATTGAGTTTATTGAGCTCAAAAGATCTCACACTGGCAAACAATTAGCTGAGATAGTTGAGAGGACGCTTGAGGAGCTCAGGCTCAAGCCTAAGCTTCTCGCCATTACGGGAGACAACGCCGGCAATAACGGCACGCTCTGTCAGTCTTTGTACGATTCTCTCAAGACCAAATTCGACGACAAGGTGAGCCCAATAGGGAGGCCCCGCATGCGCTTTCACGGCAGGAAGAGTTGGATCCGCTGTCTAGCTCATATTACCTCGCTCATTTGTGAGGGCGTCTTGCAAGATCTCAAAGCAGGCACAGCGAAGGAAGCCAAGAAGATGCTTGACAAGTGGGACGAAGAGAATAAAAGCAACAACTACACCATTCCGGGAGACTCTAGTCGAAGTGGATTGCCAAAATCCGCCTCCTCAATCTCTGGATGTTGAGATCCGGGTCTAGGGAGCAAGACTTCAAAAGCATGCCGCGCACGCACTACCGGAAGCCAACCTACGATGTCGACACTCGCTGGAATTCGGCCTACGACATGATTGACCAATTCCTCGAGCTTGAGGCAGAGTATACTGAGTTCGTTGATACTCACCCGCAAGTCAAGTGCCTCCTGCCCTTATCAGAAGAGATTGTCGCTCTCTATCAACTGCGGAAGGTTCTGAAGCCGTTTAAAGACCACACTCTGAAAGTCTCCGAAGTTATGCCGCCGATCTCACAAAGTCTCGATATCTATTGGGATTTGGAAGCTCTCCTTGATGATGTAGTCGAAGGAGTTGGCGACTTTACAGACCTTGATATGTCCATTCGAGACGCCTTCTCGAAGGGCAAAGCAAACACGTTACTTATATGAAGAAGCTTGACGATCAAATGATGCTATTCGCAGCTCACATCCTGGATCCGCGTTATAAAACTCACCAATTGGAAATGATGATACCGGATCAATACTCTGAGATTATGGCTAAAGTCAAGAAGTATTTCAAAACGGAGTGGCCGGAGCTAGCAGCATTGAATGCCACAAACTCAACTATGAGCCAATCCAGACCAGCTGAGCGTCCTCAAGGAGTCTCCATTGCGCAATGGAGAGCCATCCAAATGAAGAAGGCGAGGGAGGCGGAGACGGGCGCGGCGATCCCTATTTCGGAGCTTGAACGGTGGCTTGCAGCTCCTCGAATAGAGTTCGACGAGTCTATTGCAAAGTCTCCAGACTTCCTACTGAAGTGGTGGAAAGAACACAAGGTCGAGTGGCCACTTTTGGCTGCGGCGGCGCGTGATCTTCTCTCTGTCTCTGGCTCTGAAGTTGACGTGGAACGCCTCTTCAGCGGTTGTAGAGACGAATTCGGTATCCGCCGTCACGCCTTGAAGGCAGATACGGTGCGAGTACTAACACTTTTACGGAGTGCTTATACTCAGGAAGATAAGATCGATCAGGCGTTGATCAAGGCGGCCATGGAGTATGACATCCTGCCTTTGCCAATAGTATTATTTGGAGACCAGACCACATTCCGGGCAAGCTGGAAGATGGTATGTATGGATATACCCTCATTATATATGTAGGTATATGCTAATCTGTGTTCAGGCGAGAATCCTCCTCAACCTCTTCCTCCCACCGAGGCTCCCACTGAACCCCTACCCCCAAACCTCCTGCATCCCAAGCCGATAAGTCTGCGATATCAACCCCCTGTCTAGATACAATGGAGGCTTCGGAGGATTGGGGCTCTAAGAGTGTAGCCGTGTACAGTGGCGGATTCGAACGCGTTGTACCGACGTATTTTGAGGATTCGGCAGAGCTTTGAAAGTGCTTATTTTCAGTCGATTTGCCTAGGACAGGCGGATCAGTATTTATGTAAGTTAATTTTTGTAGTATTCGGGATTATCGACTTCTTAGAAGGCTATAACTTAAAACTATATACTACTTATTGGCGTTTTTGAGGCATCTTTGCAATCGCTCAGGTACACACCAAATTCACTTCGTTTAGGGATCCTTCAAACCATTCATGAATGGCCTGAATTGGCCCAAACCCAACTTGAATCGCGAAAATTGGAGCTTGAAGATTTTGAATCAAGATCCAAAAAATTCAATTCATTTGATTCATCCTTCATTCAAAATCTTCAAAATCTTCACCTTCGTCTATCACCCCTAGCGTCGTGCATAATGCGAAGGTCGCCTCGTTTTGTACTGCCGCTGCCCCCGCGGTATCGGCGGCCTCGAGTTCATGTTCAGCCATTTGTCGAGCGGCTTCCACTTGGCGGAGGGCTCGTTCAGCTGCCAAGCCCTCTTCTGATCAGGTCAAGCAAAAAAGTTGTTTGGGAATAAAGCACATCTGACTTACTGCATATGATCATCGACCTCGCTGTCCCACCCGATGTCACGGTAGAAAGGTTATGCCTTCTTCAACATCAAGAAGGGTGAAGAGGCAGATACTTGTCCCATGAAAAGGGTTACAATACACATTCGGGGGGTCTTTAGTATCAATTATAAAGAAATGTTGGATCCTCATTTGAGCAGCGTCTCGTTGCCTTTCCGCTGCGGTTTCATAATGAACTCTATGATCTTTTTGAGAGCAATAAGATCGCCCTCTACCGTCCCTGTCAAGTTTTCGGGCACCCAGCCTTCCGTATATCCCCCACCAAAATCCACTATCCAGGCGTCCTTGTTCCTATCGATCAGCACATTTTCAGGTTTCGCATCGCCCCAGACTATGCCCGCGCTGTGCAATTCTTGAACCGTTTCTTGAATCTGTACCACCCATTTCTCTTGGAGGCAAGCCGGTGTATCTAGCTTGGGAGCAGCACAGGCCAGCGTCACGCGGCTGCAGTCGATGTAGGTCAGGAGGAGACCAAAAACGGAGCCGCTTTCATCCCGAACTATGCCTTTAAGACGTGAGATCGGCAGCGTGTCGTTGAGTGGTGCTGCATTGATCTTGGCATAATTGTCCAGCTCCCGCATGAGAATATTCTTGTCACCGCAACGGACAAGCTTAACGAATGCAACGGTTCCGTCTTTTAACGAGACCTTGTCGGGCGTCTGGGATGGGGATGGGCCATAGGTTGGGGGACGCCGAGGACAGATTCGAATTTCGGATGGGTGAAAGCATGGCCACACCGCGCAGGTCTCGTTGGGCAAAGCGACGCCGAATCGAGACCGCGTCTTTCTCCTTGGGCTGTTATTCAACGGGACTGCGACCAATTCTCTAGCGTCGGCTCGCAGAGTGTAGAAGAGTGTATCGGGAAAGAGGTATTCGTTAAGCGTCAAACGCGTTTCGTCCAGAGGCGGCATACTTTGGAATACGGGGAAAAGTGGCTCAGCGGCCCAGTCGTAAAAGTCCTCGACGGTATAGCCATCGAGCTCGAAGTGTCGAGCAACATCCAAGAAAAATATATACTTCTCTTTCAGCTTAGTCGATTCGGAGAAGTTAGCTGCGGCCAAGTGCACAACAAAGCACGTCTTATTGCACATGATTATGAGCTCTGAATCGGTGTTCCTGTCGGAAAATGTGAACTCGAGTACGCTCCACGGTAGTGGTGGTGTGTCCTGTATGGTCGAATCCCCCATTGTGAAGTTCAGGCAACTCAAAAGGACACAAGGTTTTTGGGGATGATGGTCGTGCGGCAGCTTCTCTGGAAAGCCCAGGTGTCTAGTTCGTAGTTGTGCACTGGGAAGTTGGAAGATTGATGAGACGCGAGAGAGGAGACGGTTACCACGTGGTGGAGTTGGACGATTAGATAAGCGGCGGAGTCCTGCGTTCGCACTGTGAAGTTGGTAAAATACCGCTACAACAGGCAAAATAGGGGCACCCCCATTGGAGGTGTTATTAACGCGTATTATAAGTCCTTTTCTCTGCTCTGACAGCACTGCATCGTCAAGTGGTAGAATCGTTTAGTTCACACGCGGCATCAACATGTACCTTTGGTATGAAGAAAGCATTGTGACACTCGCCTACACTTCCCACGCGCACGATGATGCATTGATGATAAGTCGGTCTGCAAAGGTCTCCGGTAGCCCGAAGAATTGAATGTTCTTGTGTTCGTGCGGCTACAATTGTCACTCTGGATATATAAATGGACCTTGAAGGCTGTCGCCAGAGTCTCCTCAGCTCTCTGGAAATCATTGCTCACTAAATCAACATTTTGCCTGCAATCTTTCTTCTTGTTGTTCTGCTCCGCAACATGTGCTACCGTACTTACCGGCAGTATCGCTGTGGCCATCGGAGATACGCTACTCCACAATATTGTCAATACGCGGCGTACAATGCGCGAACTCGCGGATGGTCTATGTGCCCCAGCCAAAGGTCCGTTACGGCTGTATCGGATGTAGGCCTTTGTGGCAGCACGGAATGCTACCTCGCAGATTTGAAGAGAAATGGGTGGACGTGCTGTTCGTGTGGTGAACCCGGGAACAGGATGGACGGTTGTCTCGGTCCTCCCGGTGGGCAAATGGGGGACTGTCCACACTATGTTTGCACAAACTGCGCCTACACTCCTTGTTAAGCACTGGAAATACGACCACGATGAAGGAGTTTGTCCGTTTAAGTCTAGAAGGAATGCTGCATGGGATGAAGGAAGGGCTTTGAACACTGTCTGGAAGCTCAGACGTGGGACCATTCAATCGCTTGGGTTCTACTCAGTTTCGCATTCGGGTACTTGTACTGGTAAAACTGCAGAGAATCGCTTCTTCAAGTCGTTCAAGAAGTCATATTTTAACACGAGGCTCGATGCACGGTATTATGTAACATCCTCTCGGTAAGATCCTGTTCGTTGTAAGAGTATTTGCCGTATGAGTCAACTGTCACGGTCCACGGAGATGCGTAAGGAAGAGGTAACTATAGTCTGATAGCATCAGGTAACAAGGAATCAAACGCTTCAATTATCTTCCCCGAAAATGAAATCACTCGCTCCTTCTTGGATATTCTGAGAGACAGTCAGACAATGATCACTCTCAGGATCACCAAATTGCACAATAAAGTTTCTCTGACCAAGAATGAGCGACGTGTCTCCATGTTAAATGATTCGAGTTTTGCCTCAGCCGAGAGGGGGCTTCTGAAAATGCTCCAGTGCAACAACGAGCGGCCGTCCATCGTGTTTGGCACATGACTCTGATTACCTTTCGCTACGCCAGCTGAAAACGTTGGCTTTGACATAGCAGTCATAACTCATAAGGCTTAACGAGGCGGCAGTCGTAACTTGTCAGAGTGCTCAATCAGCATCACTTGCAAATCTGCATAGTAATTGCAGTAATTTGGTTCGCAGGAGGTAGAGAGGCAAGCTGACAAGGTTAGGTGGCGACCGCCTCGAAATGTGCTTGCAAGCTCATCTTCTTTAAGCTGGATAAGAGTGAATGTGGCCACGGATCAGGTACACGGCAAAGAAGACGCCGGTAAATGTAGCTGTTTGCTACGTAAGACGACCCTTTAACATTGCCCCGCACACTAGTCCGAAAAGTGTCAGACTGATGCCGCGCAGCATCAGTCTGATATTTCCTGGACCAGGACACTTTGCTCCCCGTCACCTCCATTTTCCTGCGTCCTCCTTCCTCTATTCCCCACAACCGCCTCGATAACCTCCCACTTTACGCACTCGAATTGTGTCGTCCTGACGGCCCTGTCAAACATTCATCCTGTTCAATATGTTAAGGCGCAAGGCAATCAAAGACTCGTCCAAGACGAGAGGCAGAAAACAGATCCCAACCGCTGAACCACCCACCATTGGCCAAGTTGTTGACGTCCTCAGTACTTATTCCCCAGACGATTCATTCGACACGCTGAAAAGAGACGATAAAAATCACGAACTTCTTCGGCGAATATATTTTAGGCTCCAAGATCTCTTCAAGACGTCCAAGACCCGTTCCGAGGCGAACCGTGATAGAATCAAAGCAATTCAAAAATGCGAGCTCGACAGGGAAATCGCCGACAGATTCCCCATATGGAACAGAAACCCACTGGAATTCTGGGAGAACTCAATTGAGGCACTGCCAAAATACGGTCAATTCCCAAAACCTAGAAAAGAGAGACTTCGTATTTTTTATGAGGGCGCGTTGCAACTGAAAACGCAGTTCAAGGTCCAAGTTATCATGTGGAGATTTATAACAGTTTCTGCCTACAGGCATTTCAGACGAAAATACCCAGGGAAAATCATTTCGAAGCCGAAGGTCCGAAAATTTCTTACATACTTAGGCCTGCTAGTATCGGGAGACAGCGTCCAGAGATTCGCCAATCTCCTTCTAAGCGGGCAACGACGCAAAAGGTTCTGCCAGGAGCTGCAGGCTGCAGGGCAGAAAGCTGGAAATGACACGGCATATGGCGGTCAGGAAGGAGGCAACTCAAGCGTCGCCGGTGGCAGAGGCGATAACCCAAGCAACACCAATATGGGTAATGCAAAAAGCTCGGCGGAGGTGGACTATGGACCTTTGTTTCTCCACTCGATTCCGGATAATATGTGAGTCTGCTGTAGTCGTCAAAATCTCAAGCTAACTAGGCATAGTTGGGATGCAGCGAATGGTCTTGTTGCTCAGGAATCCGAATCTTCTATGGAATATCTTCTATCTATTGGCATCACAGAATGGTCAGAAGACTCGGGCTGCAGAGCTGCTGGTAACAGGCTGATCGGTTTCCACGAAGTATTGATTTGGGCAGAAGATCAAGAACAGTCATCCGACGATGAGGATACCTCATCATACGATGTGCATCGTTGGGAAGGCGTTGCGAATCCCAAAATAGGTAACAAAAGAGGGCGGCATTCGAAGAGTGCCAACACATCGGCCAGTAAACGGCAACGCTACGAAGTTCCAAGTAATGCTTCTACTTCACGCTCCCCCACGATCGAAAACGTGTCTCAACAGATTTCAGGCGGAATCACACCTGGTTCAGCGAATTTGGAAACCGCTCTTACGAAGTCATACCATTTCACACCTGTCGCCGCCGATGCTTCCATCTCCTGGCAACCCTCTGGTCTAGATGGACCTCCTACAAGCTGGGCTGGTTCATCGGCATTTATGCAGCCAGGAGAGCGGGTTCTCGATTTGAACCTCTCCAACGATCGCAATCAAGGACGTGTCCAACACTTACCATTAGACTGGTTGGCATCGGCTGCATGCTCTGTAAACCTCAGCGCGCCGAGTCAAGGGAATCTCCTTGACGTTACGCATCTGGACTTTGTGGACTCAATATCTTGTGCTCCAGCGCAACCGGATGGTTTCGAATGCCAGGATAATGCCCAAGTATCGAACGCTGAACAGGTTTGGCAGGCTTTTCATTGCCAACCCCTCAGTGGCTCCTTTTCCTAACCTTCCATACCGCATAAAACGGTTTTCCCTCATCAATTTCCACCTTGACGAGCTTGGAGATGTGCATCTTCTTTCCTTTCTCTAGTGGGTAGAAGCGGTTGCCGTCTATAATTCTACAACCTTCGCTTGGAAAGATAGGAATAAGGTCTCCCTCTTGGAGCTCCCATCTGGTATGCGCCGTCCTGAAAGTAGCCACGGAAGTGGTCTGCAACCATCAGCGCACCTATATCTCCAAGCAACATAGAGAAACACTACCTGTGTTGCAAGCCGTAGTGAGATTTGACGTAGTTCCGCTTCCGGACATTGCTCCCAGTGCTCATTCCGAGACTGGTTCCATTGCGCATCTGGGTTTCTCAACAACCATGTGTGCAACTCCTCAACGACAGCCTTTTCGCTGTCGTCTAGGTCTTGTTCAAAGATCTTGTCGCTGCCGGCGCTGCTCATGTGGAATGATTGAATATGAAGAAGGCCTAGATATGGTGTAAGCATGGATTGCCAGTACGCTCCTTACCATCACATACAGCATTAAATGACACCCAATGCAAGATGTTTTTAAGAGGTTTGCATATGGATTTAAGTTGCTCTCCTGAGTGTTGGGCGGGGAAGTGGCTATTATTAATAATACCTGCCTGACTATTTTTGAGTCATCATGTGATCCTGCACGGTTGCATCACCAAATGTTGGGCAGTTAGCGCCATCAAGCTAGGATCAACCGGATTTTAGTTGGCCCGGTAATACCCCATCATGTAACGATCAAACAATCAGCCGTCGCATGTTCCATGGAAAATAAGAGGCGGCGACCGCGCAAGCGATTGAGAAAACAAGACGCAGACATAAGCTCCAGTGCGCAACGTCTGGCGGCAATGCAACCCCGATCGGATAGTCACATCCGTCAGGGAAAGGATGAGACAGCATATATCTCGCGGCAGCTTCGTCGCAGCCATCGAATTGCGGCACCGCCAGGTTCTACCTAAGTTATCGCCTGGTCGCCCCCTGGAGTCAGCCAAAACCTGAGACGACGCCGGAAGATTGCGCAAGCCCCGACGCCCCTTCAACCAAAAGGTCGCAAACCCTCACTCAAGCTCACCCGCAGCGACGTCAGAAAATAGGGGAACGAGAGGCGATCAGCTTGGAGCACTTCAGTCAACGGCAGTGTCGATAGACGCGAGCGTCTTTGATGTCTTGGTGGTAATCGGCCAGAAGGCCGGCTCGCCGTGTTACCGCTTTTCCATTCTTCATGGGATTTAGGTAGTGAAGAGGGCACCATGGCTGCGCCGCACTGCGGATTACAAGAGCAGGGTGCGGTTGACGACGAGATGAGACGAGCAGAGGATTCTGCAGGCAATATCCCCCGACGCGGAGAGCCATCCAAACGCCTCGTTATGGACCATCTACGAATACATGAACCACCAGCACCCCCTCACCGGTAACCCTCGCTCTCCTTGCTGGCCTCGGTCACGCTCTCCGGCGCCAGCCAGCCCTCGGCCGAGATGCTGTCCGGGACGCTCTCCGGCGCGTGGCAGTTTTCGCCGCGGAAGGGCGGGTTGCGCCCCACGTTGTTCCGGGATGCCTGCTTGCCCTGCGTCGCAATGTCGCCGGCGCTGCCCCGGCCCTCGACGGGGGGCACGCGCGCGAGCACCACGTCGTTGTCGTTTTGGCCGGGCTGCCCCCGGTTGGCCTTGTCCATGGGGCCGCCTTTGCCCTCAAAGTGCTCTCCGCGGGTCTGCCTGTTGATCAAGGTCAGCATCGGCAAGTCTCAGGCCGAGGCAGGTGTATTCATCAACGGGTACGATGGGGGCATTTACCGGCCGCGGTAGTCCAGCACGCCTCCTTCGCCCGGAGGGATGCGTTTGTTGTAGCCTCGGTTTGTGCTCAGCTCATCGCCGTACTGCACCTCGCCCGTCTTGGACTGGTACGTGTTGAGGTCGGCCTCGCACTGCCTGGCGAGCTTCTCGTAGTCTAGGGACATTGCTGCGGAGGATGTGGTCGCGGGAGTGGTGACTGGGTTTTAAGCGTATGAGCGTATAAGAGTAAGAGGCTTACTAGGCCAGATGACTTGCAGTCTTATAACCGCTGCGCGCTCAGCATGACCAGATTCCACGAAACGTCATTGTGTATGACTTCACCTTGACGTCGCATGACTTCATGGCGACTTGCTCTCGGACGCTGCCGATCCGCCGCGCCCCACGATGCTGCAAAACTTGCGGAACCACGAGCTTAGTAGTTCCAAACTAAACCATCGTCGACAGACGCGGACCTTCTGCTCTTGGATGGAGCAAGCGACCGTGGATCCAATAGCTTTGTCCGGTGATGTAACCGGGCAGTCCTTTTGCATAGGGTCAACCGACAATGAGAAATCGCACCGATGCCCCTTTTTTTGGGTTTGTCCCTCGCGCCTCTCTTGACGATACTATTGTCGGTAGCGTCAAACCAAAGATGGGCTGTTTTGTGAGACGACATGGTTGCGTGCCGGCCACCACGGTGCGTATTGGAGTCAGTCAAGATGGCGATTGAACAAAACGACAAAGTCCAGAGGGGAAAAGACTGTATTGATGCGAAATAAAGTAGCATCAGTTCTTTCCTGTCCAACTCGTTGTTCCCTGGACAAATGGCACGGCAAGCCAAGAGTCTTCGGCGACAAGAAATATTTAGGTCGCAGCTTGCATTCATCACGTCCTTGACTTCCTAACAATGAACCCAACGAAGCGAGGCCAAGCAAAATGCCCGTCACAGGCCTGTATGCTGACCTGCCCTTTTGCGGCCAAGCCCGGATGACTTCCAAGTCGATCAGCAGCACGTCAATTCCCAGTATGCCGGTGCCGATGAAGTCGAGGCTGTTGCCATTGCCAAGGGCGCTTTGGAACTTGTCAGAATACCGGCCATTTTCCAACGTACTCTCTCTCTCTCACCGCGTAGCCACTGTCCCTCTTTCTACAAGTCACTCGCTCACTCGACATTGCCCGGATCAATGGTCGGGAGGTGCTCGTTCAAGAAGAACTGCCAGCTCTATGGCGCCAATAGTAGCTGTCAAGACGACTTATTCCATTGGCAAAAGAGTTCAGCTAGGGGAGTGCATAATGCGTAATTTTCTAGCTCAATTCTGTATTCAATGGCTGCGAATATTCTGTCGACTTCTTCACCGCAAACAAGGCAGCCATCGAGCGACGGCAAAAGACAACGAGGAAGCATGGCGTGGTAGTGTCCTTTCTCAGCCGGTTTCTTCCAAGAATATGAAGCCATTCTTCTCCATCGTGGCTCTATTCGGCACAATGGGGCGTTCATGCCCATACATCAGCCAGAATGGTGGAGTCTCCGCGCATTGCTCGCCGGCCATGGTGCTCGGAGCGATGCCCACGAACCTGCCTGTACTGCTGTTCCATGCCTGTAAAAGCTCTGCCTCAAACACACTTGATGCAGTGCCACAGCTATACGTGCCTGGATGGAGAAAGCTTTTCTTTATGGCTAGGAGCGTGCGGGTTGCCTGGTCATTTAGCGCTACGTTATCTTTCTTGGCCAAGATGCCTGTAACGTATAGTGTCCGCTTGGCGGAGTGGTGGCATGGAGCCATGTCAGCCAGGTCGATAATGTGTTGATTAATGAGGTTGGTGAGTTGATAGAGTAGAAAGGATGAGGGCTGTAAATGAGGGTAAGATTGGCCACGGGATAGGCTGTTGTGTAGGGAGAAGTGCATTATGGACGATGTGAGGATTATGTGTGGCATAAAGCTTGGGATACGCCGGAACGTGTATAGCTGCGAGTAGGATCGCAGTATGGCCGAGATTGCGTTTGTAGCCTGGAAACAAACTTCGCGAGGGTAAGTGTTTGATCCAGGAATGCAGTAGTTTACAAAGGGCTGGAAAAGCTGCAAGATGGCGAAATGGTAGTAGATGCTACTCGGTTCAGTGGCTGAGTTTCTGAGACATGCAGAGAGCTTACTGCGTGAAAAGAACCGGTGGCGTGCTGTTGTGACCCAGTCGGAGCAAGTCGGGGACCAAGTCATACCAGTTTAGATATTTGGTATATATCTTGAGCACGTCTCCCCTCGGCGGCGCCTTGACAGGAGAGAAGAGGACGTAAAGGGCGTCGTGGATCAGTTCGCTGAGCTCGCAGAAACACTTGAAGACTGAGCGAACATGCGACGTCTGCTCGCGCAGCCCGTCGAGAGCAACACCTATACAAGTGTAAGCAGCCATGTCTTCGACGACGTATTCGCGTCGATTCGCCACGAAGACTTGCCTTCGTCAGTAAAATAGACCCATACGCTCGCTTCAATGTCGGGTGAGGCTGGGGGCTTCAATGGTAAACGCGTAGTAATACCTGATGAACAACTGGGCAGAGAGCGCGACAGGAGGGCCCAAGCACTGGACAGGTTAGCCGAGAAGCAGCAACGTGACATGTATCTCACTTATTCAGTGCGAAGGCGCCCCAGAAAGTAGCAGCTTGGACGATGGATTCGTCGTCATCCCCGTCCTTGCAGGTGCGGTGCAAGCCCATTTCAACAGCCAATCGTAGGCTCTGCCCGGAATAGTGGCGACTCTCCGAGTCTCTGCCACAGCTTGATTCGCGGACCGACATTATACCCAGTGCTTGGACCGTCGTCAACAAGTGTTGGTCCTGGTCGTCCAGAAGTAGCCTCAGCGCTTCCTTGAAGAACTGGTCTCCTGATGGTTGAGCATCTTGAACTGTGCTCGCCATGACTTGCCGGCTAGAGAAGCAATAGCCGAGGGCGAGCAGGGCATGGACGAGAATCGGAGAACAGTACCGACTTCGGCCTTCGGAAAAGTCTTTGACGAAGTGCTCCCTGCTTAGGGAGGCGAAGATGGGATATTCCCAGCAAAAGTACAAGGCCAGGAGACGCTGGACGAAGCCAACATCTGCCGTGAGGCTTGTCCACGCCGAGGCGGGCACCAGCATTTCCGAGCCAAGCAGCGAGCCTGCTGGCTCTCGCGAGCCGTGGATCTCAACTTGGCTGGCGATGGATTGCCCCGCCAGCGTTTCCTGCGGTGCTGTTATGTCGAGAGCCAAGCCCATCGCATCGGCGTTGGCCGGCCTGGACTCTAGCACCTCTGGTGCAGTCGCCGCTCTGGCGGAGCGCACCTGAGCAAAGAGCCTCTCCAAGATGATTCGCTTCTCAGAAGTAATGCCAAACTTGACCATGTCGCCTTCCGTCATGTTGCACAGAGAATCCACATCATCAAACCCCTCATCCAGCAGCTGAGGCTGATAAGGCAAGAGACCCGCCGATTCCAAGAGCTGGGCGAACGTCAAGGTCGAGCTGCCGGTCATTATGATGCTGCAAAGGCGGCTGATGGCAGCAAAAGTGATGACTTGTGCTGAACCGCTGATGAGAATGCCTTTTGTGTGGGATCAAAAGCCTGGCGATGAGGTGCTCTCCCCATCGGGCAGACATGCCAACCATGTATGAAAGAGCGGGGGATATTCGATTTCTTGGAAGGTAAGGTAGACTACGGGACGTGCATGTATTCTTTTACGCCTGTGACTGGAGAGTTGGGGCGTTGATACCTTGCCCTCCACGTCTTCTTTTATATTGTCAGGCCGGCTGTTAATACGGTGGTACAGAGTAAGTGCATGCGAACCTCAGCCGCACCCTGGCTACGACCTAACAGAAGACAATATTACTCTTTCCAGCCGTGAACCACGAGCAATCAAAACACAAAGTGCGTACCGAGGTTACTCGGATGCGAGGTTCGGAGGAGAAGTCCGAATTCATAAGACGGGAACACACTTGGGCCTTGCGAGACCGGAGAACTAATATAACGCTTATTAGTGCCAATAAAAGTCCCCGGAAGCTCCAGTCGGTACAGGCAGCTACCTCAGTCCGCTTTAACCTTGATGCGCTTAGCAATGCGCATTGTTGTGTTTCTGCGTCCTGGGGCCCGTGACTAGCTTGCTGCTGTTGGAGGGATGAGAGGTTACACCCCTGTCTTTCTCAACCGTGTGAAGTGCTCGCCTGCTCCAACTTCCCAGCCGGCAAATGAGGAGAGGCAGCCGTGCCTCGTTGAAATAAGGCGGAGAATAAATACTTATTAAAGCGGCAAACCCTAGTAGCGGATAGCCTTCTACATGTAGGCAATGCCACTGACCCGCAGGGTGCAGGAAATATGCCACACCAACGATAAGACGAAATCTGTACTTTAAAAGATGGACATTACCCACATGAGTCGCCATCAAGCCAAGCCAAGGGCCATGAGATTGAGAATGGACTAGTGCGTGGACGTGGCTGCGAAGACAGCCTCATCTATGCTAGCTCATTGCTGTTGAAACAGCCTAGTCGTTGTGTATGATTATTGAAAAGAAGTGACAGCTCGCTTTGCAAGCCGCGAAGCCTCCTCCAACCTTTCTGCCCAGTGAGAGATGCTTACCGAAAGCCATGCTGGAAAGCGCTGTGCTGGTTATGAAATCACCTACGTGGCCCAACACTCTTGGGCTTCGCTCGTAAACAGCGCAGCCCGAGTTACTACAGATCCATAAAAGAATTAAAGTTCCAGGTTTACATATAAGCATAAATACGGAGCACGCCAGTTCAAATCCCACCAAGACGGATACTATGCCATGATAATTCCTATGGGTCCTAAGATTTATTAAATAGCGCACCCGGCCCGACGCCAAGGCTCCTTTGCCCAGGCCATGACTAGAGTACGCAAACGGTCTAGACACGCCCACCGCAAGGTCTCCGGCCGACAAGATCACGGTCAAAATGTTCCCCCTTACCTTGACGTCGTTGGCCGGCACTGCCCCCCGCCTCAGCTGCGGCTACCCGACGAGCTGAGGAGCATGAACCCCTCATCTCTGCGATAACCACAGGGACAATCTCTATCTTCTCAATCGGGGAAGCCTCTCATAATATAAAGAACAGGTCCCGTCTCCCAAGCTCTCGAGGCCCGACAACAATGGTACATTCGCTCTGCAGTCTTCCCATATTCCCCCCATACTCTCGTTCAAGGCTTCACCATGAAGTCCTCTCTCGCTGCCGTAGCCGCTCTTGGTGGCCTTGCTCGTGCATCTATTTTGCGCGGCCGACAGGATGGCGAAGACATCGGCTTTAGGCCTGCTCTCATAGTCGTCGACATGCAGAATGACTTCTGCCTACCTGTAAGCTAGGACTCTTCTGCTTATTTCGGTCTGCTTCTATGCTAGCAGTCTTCTACGAATCCTCGTCCCGGAATAGTCGACCATGAACTGACTGAGCACACGCAGAATGGTAGCCTATCCGTCAGCGGCTCCCTCGACATCGTCCCAGCCATAAACGAGCTTCTCGCTCTTAACTTCACACTCAAAGTCTTAACCCGCGACTGGCACCCGGAAAACCACATCTCCTTCGCCACCAACCACCAGGGCCAGAACATATCTGAGATAGCCATTGCCAACCCCCAAAATACCTCGCAAACCTACACAACCCCCCTCTGGCCCAAGCACTGTGTACAGAACACTGCTGGCGCGGATTTCGTATCGGGACTCAACATCAACAATGCAAACGCGTGCGTCAGCAAGGGCCAGAATCCCGACACGGAGATGTTCTCGGCATTTTACGACAAATTCAAGGTCAACGACACCGGGCTGTTGGGACTGCTCACCGAGGCCAGAGTGACAGACGTGTACGCTGTGGGTGTGGCGGCAGATTTCTGCGTCAAGGAGACGGCTTTCGATGCTTCTGAGAAATTCACAACCTATATTGTCGACGATGCCACGAAGGCTGTTTTTAATGGCACCAGTGGCAAAACCTGGAAGGATACTAAAGCGGGTATCACCGCTCGCAATATCCAGGTTATTAAAATGGGAGATGAGGAAGTCCAGAGGGTCAGGGATCGCCCGAACGACGGGGTCAGCACAAGCGAGCCCAGCGGGCCCAATTGCCCCGAGTAGGGTTTTTAGTTTAGCAAGTTGCAACAAGTCGAAACAAGAAGCTTTGGTAAATCATTGCATGTCAAGCTTCTGATAGACCTTTGCGACTTCCCAGAGCAAATCAAGACCATTATTTATATGTGCAACCACTCAAGATGTAAAGGCCCGTGTGATATGATTAAACTCTTTCGCAGCCCACAAACTTTGAGTTCCCGTAGAGCATGGCTATGGCCAGCTCTACCAGAGAAGTAAGGGGTTATCAGGTGTTTCATTCAGCAGGGATGAAGCATATATCTAAAGCTGAAACACCAGTCGAGTAGATAGTTGGATCAAGGGCCCGACTACCGTTGGATAAAATAAGGCAACCAAGATTATCTCCTGCAGTGAGTTACTACATAAACTAGACGACCGCTCCATGGAGCCTTCATCCATGTCACTCTGAAAATTGTATAACAGCCATTTCTAGACTTTGTTAGCGCCAAGATGCTGGGATTCAAGTGCGCCCACGGAGTACACGAAAATTAGACCCTGACCTCGAATACATGTTGTCAGTCCAATAATTACGAACCCAGGCACCACGCTCATGCTCACCTACTTTGAGACGCGGGGGCTGACGTGCTCCGGCCGTATGAGCTCGCTCCGAGACTGTCAAGAAGTTAGTTAAACAGTCTAAAGCAAAGGGCGCCCCGGACAAAACTTTGAGCTGGCGAATCATATTTTATTGGTGAACACGATATTACACAGCTCTTACACATGTCCACCCTAATCTCCTTCAATCATTTGCTCCATCGAAATAGACTACATGTACTAGCGTTAAGGTTCGGGCTGTTAGTATGCCTATCAGGTGAGGATAGAATTCCGAGTTCCGTACGAAGTATGTACTTGGTACTCGGTATAGAATCGTAGGCTTTTAGAGGCGCTAGGCGTTGAATTTAGGCAATGAATATGCGCGCTGAACCACTTCGCTACGGACGCCTTAGGTATATTGCGGATTGCCAGTTTGGTCCAGCTTTGTTGAACGGACTCATTGGCCAGTCCAAAGGTCTAGTCTAACTGATTACACTTCCGGGGGCACTAGCTTTGCTCCGACGGCGGCGTCGTGGTAGTCGAATTCGGGGAGCTCGTCCACCTAGGATCCAAGGGAAAGTTTCCGTTCCAGCCAACGGCCTCTCCCTTCTCGCCCATGAACTCGAAGGCCCATTGCTCCAACGTCTTCTCTTTAAATTTGGCCACGTTTTCGTCATCCCCAGCAAACTGTGGCTGCCCTCCACTCGAAGAGTATTGGTTGTAGTTGAGTCGTAGGCCCCGGTGTCGGTCCACTTCCAGTCGGCATGGTCTTTAAGGAAGAAGTCGAACTCCCGTGTGTCCTCATAGAGTTGGTCAGAGTTTCTTCCGGCTCTATAGGGCTGTGATGTGTCGGCAGGAACGCGAATCCAAGCCTTAATCTGGTTCTAGCGTATGCTTCCTATAGCGGAGAGCTCTTCCTTGAAAGCAAACCTGATTGTAAAGTCGGTCGTTGTAAATTCCCCGCCGCCCCCCACCGCCTTCCGCTTTAAGCAAGCCCCTTCCCCTTTTAGCCCGTCGCTGCATACGGTATTGCTATAAGAATACCTATACTCCCTCCCCCCCTCTACTCGATTCTCCTTTTCTTCCTCTATCTCTCTCTCTCTTACCATTATCCCTATCGGTCGGCTATATCTAATATATAGCCCCCTCCTTTATCTAACTCTACTCCGCTTATACGACCTCCTTAACTCCTACTCTATATATTTAGCTAAGTTCTAATCCCCTAGGTTCTATATATCCGCTTTATTAGCGATATTTTTAGTCCCTTTAATCCTTTAACGTAGCTTAGGGGAAGGGAAAGGGCTCCTCTTATTACTTTAACGCCCTAAATTAAAGGGGCCTTTACTCGCTAATATAGATAGACTCTTAACCTCTATACTCTTATAATAGCTTAACGCGATTATAGCTACCTACTAGATCCTTAGATCCTACTAGTAACTTAGTTACTATATACCTATAATAACTAATAGGCTTCTACTATAATATTATTTATTATTTTAGGACCTAATAATATGGTAAAGTCTACCTTACTCTTTACTAGGTATACTATATATAGATATATATAGAGATTAGGCTAATTAACCTTTTATTACCTTTATTAGCTCTATTAGAAGTCCTTTAGTAGGCTTAAGATAACTACTAATAAAATACTAGCTTACTTTAGCGTTAGCTAGTAAAGCCTCCTTAATTAATATTATAGTAATATACCGTCCTTTAATAAAAGTTCTATTAGTATTAGGCCTATAATCTATAACTATAATTATAATATATACTATCTTTTAATATTATAATTTATAGCTAGACTTATCTCTATCTTTATTTACCTTAGGTCCGTTCTTATACTTATATAAAGGTAGGACAAAATATTATTATATCTTTTTAGCTAATATATTAAAACTAAGCTTAAAATATAAAAAAGTATATACTTAGAATCCTTATAAATAGTATATTATACCCCCTTAAGTATAGCCTCGTATAACTATTAGCGGGTGCGTAATATACTATTAAAGATTATAAATTAAGTAAGGTTTTCCCTTATATAAGTAGAAAACTCTTCCCCGCCCTCGCTAACTAAGGCTATATACCCCCCGCTAATAAGACCTAGCTTAGACCCGACCTAGGACCCTAGCCTAGGTCTAAAACGGGCCCCTTTAACCCCCCCCCCTTTAAACTAAGGGCCGAAATAAGCACTTTAAAAGCTAGGGCCCGCTTAATAGAAGCTCTAAAAGGCTAATGCCTTTTAAAGACCTTAGAAGAAAGGCCTAAGGCCTAAGACTAAGACTAGGAAGATACTAAGATAGAAGATAATACCTAGCTTAATATATAAAAGACTAGCTTCTTTAAGCTTAGCCTAGCCCTACCTTAAGCTAGCTACTTCTAGCTTAAATAGCCTCTAAGGTAGATAAAAAGGTAAAAGAGAGCTGCTCTTAGAAGCCCTATTAGCCCTATGCCTATCTAACTTATACTTTAATACTTATAGTAGTAGTAGACCTAGCCTTAGCCTTAGTAACCCTTCCTTAGGGACTAGGCCTAGGGCTTCCTTTAATAGGCCTTCTAGGCTTTTAAGGAAGCCTAAAATATTAAACCCTCTTATAAGACCCTTATAAAAAGGCTTAAGAAGGTAACTATAAGGACCTAAGACTATTAATAACCCTTACTATAGCCCCTATAATAACCTAAGGCCGCTTAGTAGCTTAAGGCTATTTAAGGAAGCTTTAAAGCTAGCTTATAAGCTAAGGTCGCTATTAAGAAAGCGCTTAAGGCCCTAACTAAGGCTATTATAAGACACCTTATAATCGATAATCTAAGTACTTATAATAATATCTACTTCTTTTAAGGAAGTTCTTACTAACTCCTTAAGACTCCCTATAGAAGAAGGAACCTAGAAGTTACTAAGTAAACTCTAGGAAATTACCTAGAAATCCTAAAAATAATAACCTAGTAAGTTATATAAATATTTTATAGATACTTCCTCTTATAAATATAATATATAGGGAATATACTAAGATTTCCTAAGTAATAATAGCTTCTTAAGGAGTATATTAATATTTCTCTAAGAAGTTACTATAAGATTATAGTAGGGAAATTATAAGGAAATACTTATACTTACTTAAGGAAAGTATTAGAAAATATAGCTAGATATACTATACTAATATTATATAATTATAAGGTTAAGATATTACTTAGTTAAAGCCTTAAGTAAAGTCTTATACTTACTATAGTATATATAAAAGATAGAGAACCTACTAAATCCTAGGTAGGTAAAGAAGAATATATATAATTATTATTACTTTTATATTAACTTATAAAACTAATAACTAGTTTATACTTAATAATCGTAATAGTATATAGTAGCTAGTTTATATAATACGTTTAAGTACGTTTAATAGCTAGTTTATTTAGTTACTTATTAAACTTATACTTAACTTAAGGAAATAGTAAGGTTAAGTACTAGCTTTATACTAAGGGACTAGTATATAATAAATAGTAGTAATTTTAATTCCCTTAACTTTTTATTATCTTTAGATCTATATTTAGTAGAGCGGAAGATAAAAGGAATAGGAAAAGAGATAAGTTAACCTTAACCTATAAACCTTAATATTTTTTTAAGAAGAAAGCTCTTACTTATATACTAACGAATCCTAGCTTTTTAATATTTTTTTATAAAGTAAATACTTAGGGAACTTTAAATAAAGGTAGAACTTCGATATATTAAAGCCTAAGTAATATAAAGCTTTTATTAGCGGTTAATAAGATACTTATTTCTAGGATACTTTCTATTAAGTTCTTATAAAAGTAAAAGATAGCTAGATCGACTACCTTAGCTATAAGAATAGCGCTTAAAGGAATTAAGAGTAAAACTTTTATAATATAACTTACTAGCTTACTTAGCTAATCGTTAAGGCCTATAAGGATAAATTAATAACCTAGAATACGTTTTAGTAATAAGGTAATATTAGCTATAAGTAATAAAGCCTTATATAAATCGGTATAATATAGCTTCCTATACTTTACCTTAACTACCTTTATTAAAAGGATAGAGCCTTAGAAGCTCGTTAAACTATAATAACTAAGATAAGGAGGAACCTCTTAATAATATTACTATTAATAGTACTTTTATAATAATAACCTTAGCTAACTAGCTAATAAGCTTAATTATAAAAGAAGCTCTTATAAGACTATTAGTAAAAGCTATAGTAAGGGGGACTAAGGAGAATACTATTATAAACCCTTTATAACTACCCTTAGTATATATTAAACTAAAAGATATAAGGAAGTTTAACTATATAAGCTTATTTAATATAATATTTATCGTCCTTAAAAATTTTTTTTATATAAAAGTCTTAATTAATTTATTAATTCCTTAAAGTAAGTAGCTATTTAAGGACTAAAATCCGCTAATAAAGTAATAATATTAATCCCTTACTTACTTTATAAACCGCTATTAAATAGTA